CCGTCATGACCCCACCCCTGAAACAGCTGTGTGTGACCCCGTCGTCATCCCTGAAACAGCTGTGTGTGACCCCGTCATGACCCGTCATGACCCCTGAAACAGCTGTGTGTGACCCCGTCGTCATCCCTGAAACAGCTGTGTGTGACCCCGTCATGACCCCTGAAACAGCTGTGTGTGACCCCATCATGACCCCTGAAACAGCTGTGTGTGACCCCGTCATGACCCCACCCCTGAAACAGCTGTGTGTGACCCCGTCGTCATCCCTGAAACAGCTGTGTGTGACCCCGTCATGACCCCACCCCTGAAACAGCTGTGTGTGACCCCGTCGTCATCCCTGAAACAGCTGTGTGTGACCCCGTCATGACCCCTGAAACAGCTGTGTGTGACCCCATCATGACCCATGAAACAGCTGTGTGTGACCCCGTCATGACCCCACCCCTGAAACAGCTGTGTGTGACCCCGTCGTCATCCCTGAAACAGCTGTGTGTGACCCTGTCATGACCCCACCCCTGAAACAGCTGTGTGTGACCCCATCGTATCCCCTGAATCAGCTGTGTGTGACCCCTGAAACAGCTGTGTGTGACCCCGTCATGACCCCACCCCTGAAACAGCTGTGTGTGACCCCGTCGTGACCCCTGAAACAGCTGTGTGACCCTGTCATGACCCCACCCCTGAAACAGCTGTGTGTGACCCCGTCGTGACCCCTGAAACAGCTGTGTGTGACCCCGTCATGACCCCACCCCTGAAACAGCTGTGTGTGACCCCGTCGTGACCCCTGAAACAGCTGTGTGTGACCCCGTCATGACCCCACCCCTGAAACAGCTGTGTGTGACCCTGTCGTCATCCCTGAAACAGCTGTGTGTGACCCCGTCATGACCCCACCCCTGAAACAGCTGTGTGTGACCCCGTCATGACCCCTGAAACAGCTCTGTGTGACCCCGTCGTGACCCCTGAAACAGCTGTGTGTGACCCCACCCCTGAAACAGCTGTGTGTGACCCCGTCGTCATCCCTGAAACAGCTGTGAGTGACCCTGGCATGACCCCACCCCTGAAACAGTTGTGTGTGACCCCGTCTTGACCCCTGAAACAGCTGTGTGTGACCCCGTCGTGACCCCTGAAACAGCTGTGTGTGACCCCGTCATGACCCCACCCCTGAAACAGCTGTGTGTGACCCCGTCGTGACCCCTGAAACAGCTGTGTGTGACCCCATCGTCATCCCTGAAACAGCTGTGTGTGACCCCGTCATGACCCCACCCCTGAAACAAATGTGTGTGACCCCGTCATGACCCCTGAAACAGCTGTGTGTGACCCCATCATGACCCCTGAAACAGCTGTGTGTGACCCCGTCATGACCCCACCCCTGAAACAGCTGTGTGTGACCCCGTCATGACCCCTGAAACAGCTGTGTGTGACCCAATTAGGACCCCTGAAACAGCTGTGTGTGACCCCGTCGTGACCCCTGAAAAAGCTGTGTGACCTGTCATGACCCCACCCCTGAAACAGCTGTGTGTGACCCCGTCGTGACCCCTGAAACAGCTGTTTGTGACCCCACCCCTGAAACAGCTGTGTGTGACCCCACCCCTGAAACAGCTGTGTGACCCCGTCATGACCCCACCCCTGAAACAGCTGTGTGTGACCCCACCCCTGAAACAGCTGTGTATTTCCCCGTCGTGACCCCTGAAACAGCTGTGTGTGACCCCGTCGTCATCCCTGAAACAGCTGTGTGTGACCCCGTCATGACCCCACCCCTGAAACAAATGTGTGTGACCCCTGAAACAAATGTGTGTGACCCCGTCATGACCCCTGAAACAGCTGTGTGTGACCCCATCATGACCCCTGAAACAGCTGTGTGTGACCCCGTCATGACCCCACCCCTGAAACAGCTGTGTGTGACCCCGTCATGATCCCTGAAACAGCTGTGTGTGACCCCATTAGGACCCCTGAAACAGCTGTGTGTGACCCCGTCGTGACCCCTGTAAAAGCTGTGTGACCTGTCATGACCCCACCCCTGAAACAGCTGTGTGTGACCCCGTCGTGACCCCTGAAACAGCTGTGTGTGACCCCACCCCTGAAACAGCTGTGTGTGACCCCACCCCTGAAACAGCTGTGTATGTCCCCGTAGTGACCCCTGAAACAGCTGTGTGTGACCCCGTCGTGACCCCTGAAACAGCTGTGTGACCCTGTCATGACCCCACCCCTGAAACAGCTGTGTGTGACCCCATCATGACCCCTGAAACAGCTGTGTGTGACCCCGTCGTGACCCCTGAAACAGCTGTGTGTGACCCCGTCATGACCCCTGAAACAGCTGTGTGTGACCCCGTCGTGACCCCTGAAACAGCTGTGTGTGACCCCGTCATGACCCCTGAAACAGCTGTGTGTGACCCCGTCATGACCCCTGAAACAGCTGTGTGTGACCCCGTCGTGACCCCTGAAACAGTTGTGTGTGTGTATAACCCCTGAAACAGCTGTGTGAGACCCCGTCATGACCCCTGAAACAGCTGTGTGTGACCCCGTCGTGACCCCTGAAACAGTTGTGTGTGTGTATAACCCCTGAAACAGCTGTGTGTGACCCCGTCGTGACCCCTGTGACGTTCAGTGTGTATAGGCCGGGCTGAAGTAAACCAGGCTGTGAGTGTGTGTTTGTGTGTGTGTGTGTGTCTGTTTGACCAGCGCTGCCTGTAAGAGTCGAGAGGTTTTCTGTGGCTGCAGAACACTTTACTTGAAGCCTTTATATTTAATGTGTGATAGAATAAATTTTTTTTTTTTTAATGAATAATTGTAACCACAATTATAATACATTATAATGCTATTATAATACTTGTTACACCTTTAGAAATACTGCATTTAAACACATGCCAAACAACAGATTCCAGATCCAACAAGGAATCTGCTCATTTGAACTTTGGTTACAATTATTTATGAAAAGATATAATGCATCATAATGCAGATTATGAAAATATCTATATCTACGTAAAGGCCTCAAGTGTTGCCGAACCTGCTTCTGATTGTTGTGGCTTTGAATAATTGAGTTTTCGGCAACCGGTCTCCGATATTGTTGTGCCGTTTTTCACAGTATTGGACTGATTTGATTTGCTATCCTAAGATCTTTAAACATGAAGAGAAATATTAGTATTGGTCTTGATATGAGATGCCCGTGATCATGTTATTTACTGAACGACAGCAGCCGTTTGATCGCTCTCTTCATCATCTTCATCAGCTGATAACGGTTTATTTTTTCCTCAAATTAAAATTTTATGCAGATTTTTTTTCTTTTTTATCAGGACCATGTTCAAAATTAATATTCTTTCATAGGATTGCACAATGAATAATATTTGAATCGCAATCATGATTTCTCAGTTAATTCAACATAATCATATGCAGTATTACCCACTGGTTATTTATCCCGGAAATATTGTTTTCATTTGTCATTTGTTCTCTTGCATTGGTGCCTATATATGCTTAGAGTATCAGATATCCAGCGTTTGGATCCGTTTGCCTCATTAGTGATCTTCATTGCCATAAATGAAAGTGTAAAACAGCTGTGTTTGTGTTCCTTCACGAGGCTGTTTGTTGTGGCAAACCTTAACAACTCGAATAAACCAAACATGAATCTCAACTATAATGTTTGAGATTGTTGTTGCTGAATAAATCTGTGCTATAATAGAAAAAGCAGTAGCACTTTATTTTACAGCCCTGTTCCGCATGTACACACTACATACTTATTACAGTCATTTTCTTTTCTAATAAAGTGTCCATGTACAATTTGTAACATAAACGTGTCCATTTCATGCTTTGTACCGGATTTACCCAAAGGCTATTTTCATCCGTAGTCCCCAGGCAGGGCAACACTGACATAACATCACACACACAATACCTATGTGTTCACATACAATAAAAACATACATACTATCAGAAAAAAAAGTAAATCAATTAAACTGCAACAATCTCGATGTTTACAGTGTTGGTTCGATTTTTAAAAAGATTTGAACTTCAATGTAAAAAGACCAAGAGCTTTACACCCTTGCATATCCTCTGGTAGGGCGTTCCACTGATTAGTGGCTTTCACTGCGAAACTCGAGAGTCCAAACGCAGAACGACGAAAGGGAACCAGACGATCACTCAGATCAGAGTTTTCAGAGCGAAAATGAACAAAGTCACATAATACAGAGGGAAAATACATAATACAAACTTGAAAAAAAGTCTGAAATTGTCAAAGTTAAAACAAATATGTTTCTCTTTGATCCTACAATAATGAAAATGGTTTGGTTTTTTATCAAAAAAATGTAATGTCTGTTTATATAAGGATTTTAAGGGTTTAATCGTCCAGCTCAGTTCTCATATAATGGTGTCAATGCAGGAGATCAATCATATTGTTGAATATTAAGTGACATCAAAATAGTGTCGGCCCAGATCCGGCCCACACATGGATTCCACACGTACCAGATCCGGGCCGACACTATAATGCTGTCTGTGACATTGGTATGTATTATGAATAAAAGATATAGATTGCACTGAATGTCCGCTTGCTTATTCTGCTCAAGATCAGGATTTATTGAGTCCACATGTCATGCAAACGAGAAACTCTTCTTCTAACCGCAGCTCGAGATCTGTCGCTCACACACACAACTCTGCGATGCTGTCGCTCACACACACAACTCTGCGATGCTGTTTGCGGATGTTCGTTGGAACGATGGTTTCGGGAAACACCGACTCGTTGAACTGCTGATAACGCCAGAACTCGCGAACATAGTTGGCTAACGATGCTTTGGGGAAACACACCCCAGCCCTATTCTTATGAATGACCCCAGACAGCGACATCGTGTTGGCCGACATCTATTCCACACGGCCCGGATGTGGGCCGGATCTGGGCCGACACTATCTTGCTGTCTGGGCACTCTATGAATTGGATTTTGTTGTGCCACTGTTGACGGCTTGTTTACTGAAACTGATCTGGCATCACACTTGTGTTTTTGCACGCTTGCCGTCCCCCTCTCACGTGTGTGTGTGTGTGTGTGTCTGTCCTCCAGGCTGCTGACCAGGATGGCCGCTGAGGAGCGGCACATGACGTCCAGCTGTGGCTCCTACATTAAGACTGAGCCCTCCAGTCCGTCGTCTCTGGTGGACACGGCGAGCCACCCCAGTCCCGGCGCGCACTCGGACGCTAGCGGCGGCTACGCCAGCGCCATCAACAGCCACTCCAACGGCCTGGACTCTCCGCCCATGTTCACGGCGGGCGGGCCGCTGGGCGCGGGGGGGAGCGCCTGCCGAAAGCGCTACGAGGACTGTTCTAGCTCGCTGCTCGACGACCCCGCCTCCATCAAGTGCGAGTACATGCTCAACTCCATCCCTAAACGCCTGTGCCTGGTGTGCGGAGACATCGCGTCCGGGTATCACTACGGCGTGGCCTCCTGCGAAGCCTGCAAGGCCTTCTTCAAGAGAACAATACAAGGTAGGCCGCCTGCATGCGCTCTATGCTGTCTGTGATTCACCCTTCGCTGGGAGTTTGATTGACAGGCGATTTGACCAATCATAATCTGCCGAACCTTTGTCAATTTCTATCATTTTTCTTGCAATTCTGACTTTATAACTTGCAGTTCTGAGTTTATATCTCGCAATTCTAACTTTATATCTTCAAATTATAACTTTATATCTCCCAATTGCGACTTTATATCACACAATTCAGACTTTATATATCAGGGCTTTAATTGTCTTAATTGCGACAAAGCAGTCAGGAGAGTTAGTAGATTCACGTCGGTGTAATTGAACTGTGCACTTTGAAACCACATTCCTTCTGATGTTCATTCATGTTTATTTGATGCTATAATTTACCTAGAAGGAAGGGATGATCGCTTGACGAGGAACTTTAACTGAGCTGTTACGACACATTAAAGAGCCACAAAACTGTATTTACTGTTACATTTCTTTAAAAAAAATGACCAAATTTGAAAGTTGAGACTTTGTTTCGTATCAAAAGTAACCTGGTCATGATGTAGCAACAGTAACTAAAGGGGGCGGGTCTTTGCGAACGGTCAATTATGATGAGAAGTCAAACTAATATCTCACTATGAACTGAAACGATGAGAAACGATGAACTATGGATGGCCAGTGTCAATAAATAGCCGATGCTGTTATTGACGTATCATCATGACCTGGTCGTGGTAATGTATGGTGTGGCGCCAGCGCTGACGTTCTAGTAATCAATCCATCTGATCGCCTATACGAGGTTTACTGTTACAGAGACATATGATCAGGTGACCACACTGACCAGAGCGGATGCAATAGCTGGCTCTTCTCACTACAGCACAGTAGCAGTGGACAAACCGAAGCAGATTCTGACTAATGGGATAAAGTCTGCTGCATATTGTGTCCCGTTCACACCAATAACTATAACTATAAAGATAACTATACTGATAACTGTATTAGTATCGACACCAGCGGACGATATCGATCTGTTTATTCTATGCATGCGCTGCAGTTTTGTCGTCTGTTGCTTTAAATGCTCGAGGTCTTGTTTCTTGGCTGTCGATGTTTTTTTTGTTCATCAAATAATGCAAATGCAAATAATGATGCTCTGGTTTATATGTGAATCTGATGCACTGCTTTTAAAAACCTGTTGCTTAGTTTATTTATTATATAGGTTTTACTCTTCAGGTATTTTTAGTTTAAGTTATTTTTAAATTTAGTCTATTAAGCTGATGTTTTTACTTATCGTGTGTATTATCTTTTTATTACGCTGCTGGTCCTGAGTACATATTACGTTCTCATGTGTCAACATGTACAGATTGACAATAAAAATACCTTGAACGCTGAACCTTGATCAGCTGGAAAAAATGCTGTAAAATGATTTTTAGAGCTATATGCATGGTTCGAATTACGTGGGAGCCAGTGGGAGCTGAGCTCCCATAGAGAGAGTATGAGCTCCCATGAAAGCAGTAAAATCCTACACCTGTGGGGGCTCTAAAAATCATCAGCACCATCATTTTAAATTACAAATAAAGCACTTTTTCCTTCAATAATCGAGGCATATTTGTTAACCCTTTCGCACGTACGTTCACAGCGTTGTGATTAGAACAGTCAGTGCATCACGTGATCAACTGCTAAATTCAAAAGTGCTTTCGCGCGTTGGCTGGCGCTGAGCCAGAGACAGATGCGCTCAATATACACAATATATCACAACTATTTAGTGTTTTCAACCACATAATGTTTATTTTAGGTTTCAGACATTTAAATACACAAAAGTAGCTACTAGCAAAAAAATGATTTGGGGGGACGCTAGGTAGGCCCCCACCAATATTTTAGCGAACTCCTTTCAGGGTTTTCCTGCATGGAATTACGAGGCAGCCGCCTCCGGCTCTCAACAAAACTCGGCCTGTGGCCATTCTCAAACCGTATAGTTTGCCGATAGTGCTGCGCGGGTCGGGCGAGACAAATAATAATAAAAAATTAGCCTACATTCAAATTAATCGAGGATGGATGAAAGATAAATCATTATAATGTGTTGATTTTAATAAAGACACGGAACTCTTATCATGGTAAAACGCAATGAGCGTCACTCTTTTACTTTCGTTTTCAACAACGTAATTCTCTTTAGAGAAAATCAATCAAGGAAAACATGTCAGGGCATTTACTACAGTTGTAATTTTTCAATGTAAATTATTTAATTTGATTGGTAACAGCCTACTGTCTTATTATTCTGATTTAATGTATTGATCAAATTAAGGAATATTTTAAAAGAAAGATGGAGCATAGGCTACATAAAATTAGAGGGAAAAATGCCCTATTTTAAAGGTAAAAAAATTATTCTGATAAGAGTGTTTGCCAACAGTGATGTAATGAAACATTGACAATTTAACTCTGAAGGGAGTAAAGCCTCTGTTAAGGATATTAAGGAAATGTAATTTTGGCCAAAGAATAACTTTTAATTTAAATAAATGTTAATTTTAAATCAGCCTACTTCAGTGTGATATTTTACCATATTATCATGCTTAACATTGAGAATTTGAAAAATTGTAATGATGATCAGATGCAGATCTAAATCAAAGAATATCATATGTTTGGGCGGTTGGATTATTTTTAACAGCGGATTCGGGTGACTCAAAGTGCACCAGATTAATGAATTTATCTTTAAAATGTACAAAATTTTCTTCCTGGGGGGGCATGCCCCCAGACCCCCCTAGAGGTAACGAACTCCACCCAAATATTCTCTACACCTGTATTAAGAAACGTACGTTGAACTCAAAATAATGAAGTGCAGTATTTAGCTATTTATTTATCACATACACCACGCCTGCTCATGGGTTACTTTTTTTCTTTCTTTAAAGAGACCCCCACAAAGATGAAATCATAATTCGAACCCTGAGTAAAAGTGAATCAAATACCAAAGGACACCACTTTGAAGAGCCCATTCTTTGCCATGAGGACAACAAAGTCATACCATTAGTAGCAACAGGGTAATATAAGGTGGTTTTTTATTGTCGTTTCTCTACTCCTGTATTAATAAACGTTGAACTCAAAAGAATGAAGTGCAGTGTTAAGCAATTTATTTATCACACACACCACGCCTGCTCATAGGCTACTTTTTTTTCTTTTTTTTAGAGACCCCCACAAAGATGAAATCAAAATTCGAACCCTGGCTATATGTTTATCTTTACAGTGTTATCTTTATGGTGTGAACGGGTGTTGTTTTCACATGCAGTTTAGTGGCAGGTTTACCACCATACCAAAGACTAGATGCAGGTTTTTACCAAAATACAAGATAAAAATCAGACAATAGCACGGTGGTTTCTGCGAACGGCTGTATAATTTATTTATTTATTTATTTTAAATTTCATTTCCAGAATTATACATTAAATAATACAGTAGTAAACGTTTCACATATAATGTTCTAAATGTTCTAAAAGATGTGAGGAACATTAAAGGTAACATCCGATTCACACATTAAGAAAAAAAGAAAATAAAAATGAAATAAAATAACAGAAAGGAAATATACGTGTATAATTAAAATAAAGAAGAGGAATTTAATTCTTTGTAGATGTCTGTAGGCGAACGGCTGTATAATAACACGTCGAATGTTGCAGAAATGTGTGTGTCGACTCTGAATCTCAGTCTCTCCACGGCAGGGTTATTATATTTAACCTTTTTAATTAAAAGTAAAAGGTTAAACGTTGTTTGAAATGAAACAATTTAATTTAATTTCAAATAAATAAAACTAAAACCATAAATAAAAATTAATTCAATCTGTATAGACATTAAAAAAAAAAGTATAAAAATTACAAAAAACTACAAATTTACTGAAACATTAACTAAAATTAAAATGGAAAATATTAAAGTAAAAACAAGTTCAAACTATTTATAAATACTATAATACTTGCTACTAAAACAAAACTTTGTAGCTGCTAAAAAATGAACAGACACGTTTCATTGAAAGCAGAGCGTGTTCTGAACCAGATACCCATCACGTGTGTGTGTGTGTGTGTGTGTGTGTGTGTCAGAGAGATGCAGTGAGAGAGATGCTGAACAACAGCAGTCAGACTGCTCTGATGTCATAAACCTTTTGTATTTTATTGCAATTAATTGCATAAAAACTCACATTTCTCAATGCTCATTAAACCGAATTTAATTTAAATGTTGCTGACACACAGTTTAACCTCACTCGATCTCCTCAGTCCTTCTGTCTCTGACTGGGAGTTTACACTCTTTTATCCAGTAAAAGTCTTTCAGTGTAATTGTACAAACGTCCTCCTTCAGCTCGAGCTTCACGAGTCTTTCTGTGTCAAATCTGACCTGATTTATCAAGGAATAACTTTGATATTGTTAGTAATATTTCAGCTGGACTGAAGCAGCTTCGCTTTACTTGATTATCAGACATCATTTATAGAAAGCATCAAATATGATCATCAGGCTTTTGAGGAAGATTTATTAGTTCATCTCTCAATCTTCATTGCATTGCATTATATGATTTAAAACTACAGAGCTTTGATCATAAAAATAAGCACTTAAATATCATCTTACTAAGACATATTATTGGCAGATATAGAGGGACGTCTGATTATTTATGTGCAAGTATCTGCTATAATATTCTCATTGATCACAAGCATCAGAATGTCATCTTGTCCATATATAAAACAGCTGTTTTTTCCTCACTATGTCAGACTATATGAACCATAAAAGCCTTGTGTGTCAAATATGATACACAACAAAACTTGCAAACTTGTTTCTTTTTTTTGTTCAAAAGGTTCAATAAACTTTTCCATTATTTCATATGTCAGGCTTTACAGGGTTAGTCTCTTCTGAATCACTGAGATTTCTGCACATCAGTGACAAAAACAAGAGATCACTCTCAAAATCCCCTAACTCTCACGCCGTCAGGTGTTTAAACACTCGCTTTCAGGAGCGCTTGTATCGGCTTTAAACAGTCTATGTACCTTTAGTGAAGGCAAACAATCACAA